GGAAAGGAGGCCAGGTGTGGTGCCTCACATCTGTAATCCCATCACTTAGGGGGGACTAAGGCGGGAGGATCGTTTGAACCCAGGAGTTCAAGACCCACCTGGGCACTGCCACGCCCAGCTATTTTTTGTATTTTTGTAGAGGCAGGGTTTTACCATGTTGCCCAGGTGGGTCTTGAACTCCTGGGTTCAAACGATCCTCCCCCCTTAGTCCCCCCTAAGTGATGGGATTACAGATGTGAGGCACCACACCTGGCCTCCTTTCCTAATTCTTTCCTAGTTTGCTTCTTGCCATTTCCAAATCAATAACTATCTCTGGGCAAGGTATCGATCCTAAATGATGATGATGGTCACATAATAAATATTCTAGCAAAGGTGAGGCCTTATGCAAAGATCTTTTCTGTCTTGGATATAGCAAATAGTCTTTGAGCTCCACCACTGAAGGAGATATGTTAATTCAAAACTATTCATGATGAGAGGTAGACAGCTGGAGATGAATAGTGACCACCATCAACCTTCCACAGATATATGGAGACTCTTGAAGACAGCCCACATAATTTGGTAATCCAATGTATTGATGGATTCTATTATCTATATCATAGGAAGATCAGAAATCAACCAAGCATATCTTGGGGGCAATACAGAAAGGGTTGAAGTCAATGGAAAGATATAGCTTGGATCTGACTACAGTGACTTGGATGAACATTTCCTCAGCAGAAAAGCAATTTATCGGGAAAGGGACAAATGATCAAGTCACTAGGCCGACAAATGAAAAGAGCCTGGTATAAACAAGCTTTTGTAATGGTTGCATTACAGTAAGAAAGGCCAACGCTTGGTCCAATTATCTAAATGAAACACTGGTACAGGGAAGGGATACCAGCTAGCATGGAGAACACTTAAAAAGACAATAGCTGGCCGGGCGCGGTGGCTCAAGCCTGTAATCCCAGCACTTTGGGAGGCCGAGGCGGGTGGATCACGAGGTCAAGAGATGGAGACCATCCTGGTCAACATGGTGAAACCCCGTCTCTACTAAAAATACAAAAAATTAGCTGGGCATGGTGGCGCGTGCCTGTAATCCCAGCTACTCAGGAGGCTGAGGCAGGA